TTTGGCCAAATATGTCTTACTTTCCAAAATGTGTCTTTCTCCTGAGCCACAGCTCCGGGTCCTGTGAATGGGAGGACCGGCAGCTTCCCAGGATGGACACCAGCGAACGGTGGGTGGATGGGTGTCTGTTCAGGTAACCTGTGCGTGTGAAAGTGTGGGACTTGTACAAGGCATTGAAGGCCGGCATGACAGGTGTGTGTGTGCAGGTGTGGGCAGCCCGGCGCCCAGAGGGCCCTGTCTGTCCGGCTGTCTGTCTGCAAGCCTTGCGTGCTCTGGCCCTCTGGTCTCTCAGAGTGGGCACCCATCGTGGGCCGCCTGTCCACACCGCGTATCTTCTTTCTGGGTTAACACCCCCAGTTAACAGCTGCTGCAGCCGGGGTCACACCTGGGGTGCCAGGACCCAGCAGGCAGAGAACTCCAAGAATCTGCCCTCTGGGTGACAGGGAGAGTCCCTGAGCTGAGACCAGCAATAAAGGACTTGGGAGGGCAGAGCTGATCCTCCCTGGAGCCAGCTGGCCCTGCTCTCCACTGCTCCCGCCCTGCCCACCCCTCGGCTTCCTTCCAGGAGGCCAAAGCCTGCACTCTGGGTGCACCCCGAAAGCCTGTGGGGGAGGAGGGGCCTGGGCACAGGATCCCGAGGCCGAGACGGGAGGGGTGGGACTGGGACAGGTCCTGCTCCACCCGCGTAGATGACACAGCCCAGAGCATGCCTCCAGGGGAGAGGGTCAGGAGGGCCAGTCCAGGCCAGGCTCCACCCTGGTCCTCAGGTCCCCATGCTACTCATGTCCCCCTCACCCATCCTCAGGTCCCCAAGCTGCCCGGGGACCCCACACCCTGTCCTCAGGTCTCGTATGCCAGTCCCAGAGTCCCCGCGCCCTGTCTCTGTAAGCAAGGACGTGGCAGAAAGCGGCCGTTCTCGTCCTCCTCCCTTGGCCTCTCGGACGCTCAGATGTGCTCAGCTCACAGCCGCCCGCCTCTCTCAGACATGGCTGCCCTGGTCCCTGTAGCAGACGGCTGCTGCCTTCCTCCACCCCTTAGAAAATGCTGCCCTCTGACCAGGGCACCCTTTCCACCCCTCGTGATGGGTCCAGAGGCCTGGACACTTAAGTGTCACCCGAGGGGCAGGTGACCTGGGCTCTCTGTCACTTGGCATGGTGCCTGGAGGCAGACCCTGGTCTTCTGTAGGTCCAGGAGAGGAGCTGGCCCCTCAGCGGCTCTGCAGTCCCTGTCCTGTGGGGGCAGCTCCTGCCCACGGCACCCACCTGCAGGGAAGGAGGGTGGCCAGCCAGGTGAACAGGGATGTGAATGTCACACCTGCTGACCTCTGTCCACAGCAGGGCTGACCCCTGTGGAGCCTCTCTCAGCCCTGCCACCGTGGTCAGTTAGAAAGGCAGAGGCAGCTCTAGGGGCAGGACAGCCAGGGCTGTGGGGGGCCCGTCCTGCTCGTGGGACCTTGGGTGGTCACTGGGGCCGAGGGGCCTGATCAGGTCTGAGTGGGCAGGAGACAGACACCAGGCCCTGCGCATGGCGCCGGCACAGTCCCTGGGCGGCTCTTTCCCGCGGGCAACCTCGTCCCCAGCCCCTAACGTGAGCCGCGACTCAGGACTGATGATTGAGGACTCCCCAGCCCGGGGCCTCCAGCACCCTTCTGGAAGGTCCTGCCCAGCCCGGAGGGTCCAAGGGAGGTTCGTGGGAGTCGGAGCCCACCCGCGGATGCCCACACGGAGCCTTACGGACCTGCGAGGTTGCACGAGTCCGGCTCACGACTGGCGTATTGCCGAGAACCTCGAGGGCTCCTGGGTGCAGAGGCCTTGGAAGCGTGGGAGCCTGGCCCTGAGCAGGGCCCTCAGCTTCTCTGTGTGGCCAAACGTGTCCCGTCTGGCCCTGACTCCTGTCCCTGCTGGGGAGGCTTCAGCAGGAGGTGCTGTGGGAAGCCCTCGCGTGCTCAGAAACCGCGGGCAGCGGCCTCTTCTCAGCAGGTCCCCTGTGGAGGTGGTGGTCAGATGGCAGCTGGGGAGGGCAGAGTGGGCACAGGACAGTTGGGGAAGTGACAGGTGTGCAGGTGGCGGGGAGGTGCTACATGAACCTAGACCCCCACCCTGAGGGGGTGCTGTGGCCTACAGCGAACCCTGACTGAAGGTCCTCACCTGCGGCCGGGACAGCCGGGGAAGGGTCCCTAGAGCCGACAGCGGTTCCGAGAGGACCTGCGTGTGCACACACCCCTGCACAGGCGGCCCTCACGTGCGTGTGCACTCAGGGCACCCACACAGCACGTGCACACGGGCGCTGAGCCCCCTGCTGCGGCTGGCTGGGGCTGAGGACGTACACTGCCTGTGTCCTCCCTGTTGTAGGACTTGTCCTGCATTCCGATGGCTTTATTGAGATATGATTTACATTGTATAGAATGCATTCCTCGTCAGTGAGCGATTCAATACATTTCAGCAAATTTAAGGGTCGTGTAACCGTTGCCACCCCCAAACAACACTTGCCTTGTTCCTGACACCCCCAAACAACACTTGCCCACAGGCAGTCCCTCCAGCCAGGCAGCCAGAGCTGCCCTGTCACCGTGGACACGGCCATCTCTGGACACCTGGTTAGTGCAGTCCCCACATGTGGCCTGTCCTGTTGGCTGCTGCCCTCTTGGCATGGCAGTCTCAGTCCGCCACGGGAGTTCAGAGGACCCCCTTCCTTTGTCTCTCTGAAAGGTATTCTCGCGTTGCTTTTTCAAAGCCTATCCCTCATGGGCGTAAAGAACTGAGAAGCTTGAGTTCTAGAACGTTCTCAGCAAGCCCATCTACAAGATGACACCCACTGTCCAGAAGAAGGGAGAACTGGGTAGAGGAGGACTGAGTGCCCGCCTGGAAAGAGGCCTGGCATCTGCCTTGGCATCTCCATGTGGAGCCCCTCACACCTGAAATCCCAGCCGTGGCCAGTAACTGACCAAGAGCCCAGGGGACAGTGCACCCCGTCAGCACGGGGCTCTGGTGGCCCCACATCTGCGCACCAGCCTAGTTTGGATCAAGGATACTTGGAAAGCACTGCGTTTGGCCGGGAGGTGTAGGCTTCCTGGCCTCACTCCCTAGCCCTGCGGTGTCCCAGCTATCGGCACAGTCACTTTGCATCAGGCATTATAAGTCACCTCAAAGTGATAGTTATTCACAAAATGAGTGCCATTTTAAGCAAGGAGCTTGCATGTCACCAACTTGGGACTCTGGGCAGTGTGTGGAACCCATTCCTGCAGATAGCAAGGGAACTAACTGTACCTACAGGTGCTGTGGATTTGGGGTATCTTGCCATGTTTCTGTTTTCTCAAAGGACAGAAAGCTGTTGTCTTCTTGATGAAGTGTCCCCTGACTGTCCCTCAGAGGTGTTGCTGGGCGGCAGGGCATTCTGGGTAGCCCGTGCCGCTCTGGGTTCTGGGCCTGAGACATGCCACTGTGCCGGGGTCCATGGATCGTTTATCAGTGACGACACACGTTTCTCTTCCTTTTGGCTCGGAGAAGACACCACCTATGACACATGGGCACCCACACCCACCACAGGGCTCTGTGGCCGTCGACCACCCCCGCCCAGCTGTCCTGGCTCTCTCCCCGATTACTACCGCCTGTGTTCCCACAGCCTCGGGGGCCCCAGGGGCCCTCCTGTGCTCAGACACTGCAGGAAGACAGTAGCTGCTGTCCTCTGAAATGCTGGGGCAGGCGACCATCCACCTCCTGACCAGCATCCAGCTAGCAATTAGCCTGAAGTGATGATCAGAACCCAGTGTCCATCTTCCGGAGCAGTTTGCCTTGGCTGAAGGGACGTGTGCTCTCCTGTGACGAGGAGCCTTGCATTACCCTGCAGAAAAAGCAGGCCCGGGCGGGAGGGCTCAGCCTGAGTGGAGGGGGCGGGGGGCAGAGATGAGGTGGAGCCCCCTGTCCCTGGGCCTTCTAATCTTCCAAAGCCCTGGATAGCCCTGAGGGTGCTGGAGTGTGGACCTCCTAAGACCAGCCAGCTGCCCCTTAGGACCCTCCTGGGTTCATCCACCAGCAGCCTCTCGGGATCAGTAAGAGGGACTTCTCCAAGGAGGTCCTGAGACTTAGGGACGGGAAAGAGGCTCCCCAACCCTGGCTGAGGACAGAGGTCCACAAGCCAGGCCCATGGGTCCAAAATCTCCTGGACCTGGAATGCCCCCAGTGTTGGCTGCTCCGGCCAGTGGCCTCCTGGGGCCCCTGTTAGTGCCTGGAGAGTCCACGGTGGCCTCAGACTGATGGCAGAGATCCCACTGCTGGCTTCTGAGAGTCCACACCCTCATGTGCCTGCCATGGCCCACTTCTAGCTGTCCCAGCCTACTGCAGGGGGCCGATGAGCTGGCTCTGGCCAGAGGAGTCCTCAGCTCCCAGCTAGAGGAACAGAAAGGGCCCCACGGCAAGGTCCCTCGAAGAGCTGTGACTTCAGCACGTTCCTAACTCTGTGGCCAGTACAAGCGGGAGGTGTTGTCCTGGGACTAGGGCACGTGCCTCTCCCGTTGCCTCTTGTCCTCCTGGCCCTCCTGCTGCTCCAGTGACCAGGGGCCACCCTGGTTCTGGAGTCTGTGTCCAGGGGTCTGTGTGGCCCCTCTGTCCTCTGAGAGCTTCAGGGGACATCTTGTGGTGCAGGGGTCCTGGCCCTTCCTATAGGGGCCACACAGTGGCCCCTGTCTGTGGCCTGGAGTGGAGCTGCTCCTGCCCCTGCCCCTGCCCAGGTACAGTGAGGTGGCCACAGGACCGTGCATCCAGTCATCCTCCACACGCCCAGCTCACAGCCTGACCCTTGTCCTGCACAGCCACCAAGTTCCTGGCCCTTTACGGCGAGTGCCAGACACACCAGCACAGAAGGCACAGCTGGGAGTGGGAGGCCAGTGTCCACCTGGGCTGATGACCAGGGGAGACCAGAGACGGTGGTGCGGAGATGCCACCCAGAGGAGGCGGGGCTCCAGCCGCTCACTCCCCCTGGACAACCCTGACTCCTCTCCCCTACAGGAGCTTGGCCGGCAGAGGCTGGTCCTGAGAGAGGCTTGTACGCAGCCCAGTGGAGCCAACCCTGGGGACAGCAAGATGACCTCAGAGCACAGGGATGTCCTCGTGCTGCTGCCCGCCCAGAAGCAGTTGCGACTGGCAGTCGGGGTGAGCAGGGCCTGTGCCCAGGGGGTGGCCAGGAGAAAGTTGGGTGTGTGTCCAGAGGGTGACTGGGGGACAGTGGGGACCACATGTCCAGAGAGTGATATGGGGACAGAAGGAGCTGTGCACTGGGGGCACCTGGACTAGGGGAGACATCAAATGACCACTTCACTATGATGCGGGCCACTGTAGCATGCTGGGGCTGAGAGTTGCCCAGTCCCCTTTAGCGTCCAGAGTCCTGGGCTGCCTGGCCCTCCCACAGCGTCCATGCCTCCCTGGGTTGACCTGTCTGATCCCTGGGTGTCCCTCCTGTGGGGGAAGCTGGACTGGAAAGGCCGATGAAGAAACGGTGCCTCGGGAGCAGGAAACTGGAGGCACAGTTCACCCGGGACAGCGGCCTCCCTCTGGAGGCCCTGGGTGGCTCTGCGTGCCCCTCCGCCCTGCTGCCCTCTGGTCCTGCCCTGTCCTCCACACTGGGCTTTAGGGAAATGTTGGCTTCTCCGCGTTTTCACTCCAGGGCCCCTCTGAAGTCCCTGCATCGTCATCGGGCTGTGACTGTCACGGGCAGGGCCTTTCCCCCCGGGACCCCTGCCTCTCTTCCCACTCTGCAACCTCTGCCCCACCCTTCGGCCTCCCCCTCCACTTGGTGAGGACCCTCATGGCCGGACCATCCCCCTGGGGATGATGGATCACACTGTCACCCTCAGGAGTGGGACGCCCTCCCTGGCTGATAGAAAGCCCCTCCCCTTCAGTCTGAGGACAGCGCCGAGGGCTGTGCCCAAAGTCACCAGAATCCCCTCAAGACAGCGTCTGGTAGGGGAACTAAGAGCTAGGAGCAGCGCTGGCCGGCCCCAGAGGAGGGAGGCCTGGCCCACAGGAAGGAGCCGGCGTGGTCCAGGGACCCCGGCCACGGCCTCCACAGACGGCTTTTGGATCAAACTTCAGGTTGTAAAACCACATAAAGGAACGGAAGGCTGCCAGATGTCGCTGGGGACCCTGTAGCTCTGCACAACCTGGTCACGTCCTGGCACTTAGGGTCTGAGAGGGACACTAAGGAGCAGGCCGTCTCCTTGGCACAGATGACCTCCAGCCAGCGCGTGACCCTTCTGTGAGGACTCTGGCATCCTGTGTGGATGCAGTCTCGACGCCTGCAGCTCCTCCCTGCCGTCCATCACGGGGCAGTGTTGCCAGGTCATGGTCCTCAGGTCACTGTGACCTCAGGGACAGCAGGGTCATGCGGTTTGCTGCAGACCCGGCCCTTCCGCACTCCCTGCCCTGGGGAGGAAGGGAAGTGACCGGGCTCGGGCCCTGAACTAATCCTGGCACTCACTAGTCCAGGTCCAGGGTCCCTGCGGTTGGCTTCCTTCTGGGGCCCCTCTGTGCGAGCCTCGGCAGCCTAGGGGAGGCTCTTCCCTCAGGCCGTCTGAGCAGACGGGAAGAAGCTGGGAACTGGGAAGAAGCTGTCAGTTCCCAGCTTTAAGCTGGACCAGGAAGCAGTCCTTTCACCTTTGTAAGTTTGAATGGTGATTGAAATGATGGTGTCTGACAGAGTGACAGGTCCCTCCAGGGGGAATTTGTTGAGTCTCCTTGTGGACAGCTTGGTGCTCTCTGAGGCAGTGACGGGCTGTGACATCACGGTTCAGGTCCCCCGGGAACCTGGTGTCTGCCTGGGGCTGCGTTTCCGTAGGAAGTGCTGGCACTTAAGTTTGTGGCAGTGCCCCAAGCACTGGGGTACCCACCTGAGCAGGGGATGTCAGGGTCCTGGGGCCCTCTGAGGCATGCAGTGGACATGCTGGGGCCTCCTCCTGTGTGGCCAGGGCGTCTTCTACCTGTTTCCCTCCCTGAACTGCACTGTGAGATTCAGCCGGAGGCTGCACCCAGAACACAGTGTGAAGCCCTGGGTGAGGTCACGCTCGGGGCTTCATGGAGCGTCTCCTGCTCCTACCTCCCCAGTCGGGCCCTCTGCTTGTCAAGGACACAGCTGGCCAGCCCTCAGGTGCGAGCCAGGCACTGTGGACCGTGGGAGCCATCATGGGAGTCCATGTACCCCTGTGTGGGGCCCAGTCCAGTCATTAGAAGAGCGTGGGCTGAGAAGACCTTCCCAGTGCACGTCCCAGTCCTGGTGGCCCTCGCCATGTTAACGGATGCTGATGAGCCGACCTTTCAGTAACTTGTCATCGAAAAGCAGGAACAGGCCGTGCAGCTCTGGTGACACAGAGGCACAGGTAGCAGACGGCCAGGTCACGGGGCTCTGGGTTTCTAGTGGAGGCCAGGTCAGGGGCCTCACAGGGGCCCGGGGCCACCGTCACACACCTCTACCATAGCCAGCTGGCACACACGGTCTCTCTGAGTCACCAGCAGGAGATGTGTGGCTGTCCCCCAGCAGAGAGGCACAGGGGGTGCGGACAGCACTGCCAGCCTGGAGCTGAGTCTGTCAGGAAACTCAACAGAAGCAGTGGCTGCAGGTGCCACCGTGTTGTCCGCCCGCGTACCCGGTGGCATCTGAGGGGATTCCACGCAGGAAGCTCAAGGACAGATTGGAGCAGGGACGTCACCCAGACCCAGCACGGGAGCTTCTATAGGCTTGGAGTCAATAAATAGGCATAAGGGGTTGGCACGGGAAAGGGGTTTGAGGAGATCGCTGTGAAGAGCCCGTCAGGGAGCCACGCTGGGACCACGTGAAGCAGACCGCAGGACGTGCCGTCGAGAGAGTCCTCACCTGCGCGCCGAGGAATGCACCCTCCTGGGCAGCAGCATGGAAACTGGCCCTGGGCGCGAGGCCCGCCCAGTGGTGTCTGGGGGTGTAGTGTAGGATTCCCCAGGGCCAGCTGTAGGAGTCGTGTACCCGATGACTAACGCTGGCTGAGGCACAGACTGCACGGTGAAGCGTGTCCTCGGGGGCCTGGGGCCTGGCTCAGACTGTGCACAGGGACTGCTAGTTAGATCTGCAGAGCGCTGGGCAGGCAGTGTGTTCCTGAGTGTTGTCAGCCCCTCCTCGGCCCCCTCCCTTGAAAATCAGGTGTCTTCCCCATGCACAGATGCCCATTTCCGGGGTGGTCAGGGCCATGTTTGCGTGGGGTAAGGAGGATCTAGCAGGCGGGCCCCCAGGTGGTGCACGTTATGGGGAGGGTGGAGGGTGCTCTGTCCAATCCAGGGGCACCCCTCCATCTCCCTCTCCCAGGCAGCTCTGTGGGGTTGTGAGTGACCTGGCCCTGAGCACAAGCCACTGCTCACGTCCTAAAGCGGGGTCCCCTGAGCCTGTCGGGGGCAGTCCTGGACGCCCTGAGCACCACCCCTGTTGCAGGTGAGGGCCACGGCGCGGGAGCTGTTCCAGCAGGTGTGCAGCGTGCTGGGCCTCCGGGAGGCCCGCTTCTTCGGCCTCAGCGTGGTCAGAGGTGAGCTGTGTTCCTGTCCCCACCTTCAGGCCCTCCTGCTCCCCCCACCCCACCCCGTTGTTGCTGGGCTTCTGGGGTCAGGCTCTGGGCGGACTACCACAGACAGGGTGTTGGGGTGTGTCAGTGTGTGCAGTGTGTGCACGTGTGCTGCAAACTGGGTGGTCGGTAGTGTGCAGTGTTCTGAGAGTGTGCGGTGTGAGGTGTGTCTGTGCGATGCCTGTGGCGTGTGGCGTGTGTACGTGTGGTGTGTCCATGTGTGGCCTATGGTGTGTGCTCGTGTGGCGTGGTCATGCATGGCCTGTGGTATGCGATGTGTGCTCGTGTGGTGTGTCCGTGTGTGGCCTGAGGTGTGTGCATGTGTGATGTGTAAGCCTGTGGTCTAAGGTGTGTGGTGCTCACATGCGTGTGTGATGTGTACATTTCTGTGCACCAGCACATGCGGATGACACACACAGCTGCCCGCTCAGCCTGCTGGGCTCTGTCAGGTGGGGAGTGTGACAGTTTCGGGGCCAAGGTGGGTGCCTGTGCAGACGCAGCAGCCTGATTTCAAGGACCTGAGGGTGGGGCCTGGGAGTGCCGGGCGGGTCCCCAGGAAGGAGGTCGGCCAGTCACAGTGGGCAGGGGAACACCCCACATGCTGTAGGACGGGGTGCTTCTCCCTGGTGGCCCAGAGGTGCTCGGCTTCCTGCTGGTTAGGGACTCCCCAGGCCTTAAAGCGAAGAGTGAATCAAAGCCCTGGTGATACCGCGCCAGGCCCCGGGGGCCGCCCCTGCAGGGGGCCAGAGCCCGCAGTGTGAACACAGCCGGCAGCTCAGGACCTTTGTCCTTCTGATTGAGGCTCAAGGTCCATACCGTGAGCTGCCCACACCTTAGGGACCAGCTCACAGGCCTTCAGCATGTGTGTGTACCATGGAGCACACACCTGTGAGGTGGACGAGTCACGGGAGGCCCCCAGCCAGGGTCAGCTCAGGTCGAGGCCTTGCAGCAGAACTGCCGAGGCTCGGCTCCTGTGGGCGGGCACAGTGGCCACTGCGAGGAATCCAGGTGCACACACAGGGATTGTTGGGAGTGTCGCAGGGCAGGTAACCAGCTGGAAGGCAGCCACCTCCACCAGACCTGTCTTCCATCTCCTCTCCTGTTGGCCATCTGAGATGGCCTGCCACCAATCTTGCCGGCCCCAGGAGCAAGTGGGCAGGGCAGGTTAAGGAAGAAATTGGGGTTCCCTGCTCCCAGGTGAAGACAGGCTCTCCCTCCTGCACATGGGACCTGCCGAGGCCGAGGCTCCAGCCCACTGAGCTTGTCCATCTTGGAGCTCAGCCCAGGGCCACTGGCACCCTTCATGGCCAGAGCCCTTACTTGGGAGACCTGGACTTTTGAACAGGACCTTGGATTCCTTGCTTCAGTTGCCTCAGGCGTGGTGACTTGTGCACACTTTTGGTAACACAGCAAGGGACAGGACCTCCACCGGCAGCCGGGGCTTGGCAGTAGGGAAGGTGGGACACAGACAGAGACCGGGCAGGCCCCACCTCCCTGGCCAGCAGGAACGCGTGGGTCAGCTCCTCAGTCCGCCTGGTGGCTTTGGGTGTCCTGCCGTCTGCACTAGATAGAAGGCAAGGGCTCCGCGGGAGGCCTAGGTCTTTCACTCCTCCAGAGGCGTTGGTTGGGCTCCAGGGCGCCCTGGTGCGTCTGTGGCCTGAGAGGACAACTCTCCCTGGGCAGAGAGGTGGGGAGGCCTCCGAGGTGGGCAGGTCCTCACTGCCATTCCCAGTCACTGGGACATACCACGCTCTTGGCTGCACTTCCTAAGTGTCCCAGTGTGCGGGATCACCAGTGGGACTGGGCTTCAGGGGGTGCGTGTGCAATACCCCTCGACAGGGCTCCATGGGACCCTTGGCCACAGGAGCAGGAGCTCCCAGAGGGTTCTGGGGCTTTTCCAGCCCTCCCTGCTGCCCAGATGGTGGGGAGTGAACAGGAAGTCACCAGGCACTTGCTCCTAGGGCCATCTGCAAGACCTCGGGTGCGGGTGTCTGTCCAGTCACCAGGGGCAAGAGGAGACCTCCCTTTGGGCCTGAGTGACTGCAGGCTTGTTGCGGGCCCTCCTGCCTCAGGAGGCTGGAGTCACACTTGGAGGGGGCTTCAGGACTTTAACATGTCATTTTTTGGAGCAGGTTGAGGTGACAGCAAAACTGAGCAGAAGGAAAAAGTATTTCTCATGTACGTCCCACCCACAGTGTCCATATCCCAGCAGGAACCTACAGGGACACGTCCGTGTCACCCAGAGTCCACGGTGACATGAGGCTCACCCCTGGTGTCAGACACTGTGCAGTGCCCTCGGTGTCACCCAGCAGTGCCATGGCCCTGAAGCCCTCCCTACCCACCCCCACCACCGCGGGTCCTCTGCTGAGTCCCTGCCCTGTCCCCAGTGCTGCCCCTCCAGACGGCTCTCCCTTGGTGACAAGCAGTCACGTCGGCGCCACGCCCTCGACAGCTGGGGGCTGAGTCCTCGTCATCAGTGACTGACCCTCCACTCTCTGGATGTGCCACAGGCTTTCCTAGTCACCTGCCAAAGGACATCTCCTACAAAGGACAGTTTGCTTCCTTCAAGCAAGAAAATAAGGCCTGACTCAGGGGGTGACCTGGTCAGGGAGGCAGGGCTGTCTGACCCCAGGGCAGAGACCATCTTCCCAGAGAGCCAGGGACCAGGGTCAGGGCTGGCCAGACTCAGGCCGTGGGGGAGAAGCTGTGCCTCCGTGGGGGCTCAAGGAGGTCTCTGCTGGGACCTTCCAGTCCAAGAAAAGAATCTCAGATGCATCAGGCTCCGCACCACGAAGAGCGTCACTGGACAGCGGAAGGCCAAGGTCGCTCAGAGCAGATGGGCTCTCGGCCGCCAGCCGGGCCGCAGGGTTCAAAGTCTGATGTGTTAGGGACAGAATTGGGAGAGATACACGTGACCCTGGTGGCTCCTGGGGTCCTCTCCCGCCTGTGTCCTCTCTGCCTCCTTCCCGGTGTCTTTGCATTGCTGTCCCTCTGTGCTGCATGTCCATGTCCCGTTTCTGGTGGATCAGGACACCCTGGAGACTCACCTCAAGTTGAGCAGTCCCTGAGGCCCGGGGGTCAGGGCTCTGACATTGGGGGACACAGCTCAGCCCCTAATTCCTGGCCCTGGTGAGCCTGGGAACTCAGCTGGACCCCAGCCCGCTGTCTGTCAGGTCCGTGGGGCTCTGGGGGAGACAGAGGCAGGCCAGGCAGAGTCGGGAGGCCTGGACCCCAGCCCTCTCTCTACCTGGGCAGGACTGCTGGTCCCAGTGCCATGTCCAGCCGGGTGTCTGAAGGTGGCAGCTGGACTGGGATGTGCTAAGTGGGCAGAACAGGGTAAAACTGCCAGGGACAGCCGGTGACACTGGCCTGCAGCACACTGCCCTCACCGTCGCCCAGCAGCTCCTCGGTGGCTCCCGGGGGACGTTTCCTCCCCAGTTCACTTGGAGCTGTGCACCTCAGGCCTTGGCACGGAGCCTGTGACCGTGGAGGGAGCCCCCAGCCTCCCCCTCCAGCTTCCACAGGAAGCCCACTGTCCTGCCCCAGTGTCACAGCAAGGCTTCCCTCAGCAGAAGCGTCCCCAGCACCCCTCCCAGCCACTGGGCCCACGGTGCACTTGGTGGTGGCGTCTGTTGGCGTGGGCAGGTTAGAGGGTCCCTCTTGTTCTGTGGCTGGGCCAGGGAGCCTGGGGTGCAGGGAAGGTCTGCGGGCCCCGCCGCTCACCCTCATGCCTCCCGGAAGGCTGTGAGTGCGCCAGCCCTCCCTGGGAAGGCCATGCAGGTAACCAGCAGCGGCTGACAGGGCTGTGCCCGCAGCCAGCCCAAGGGAGCAGCCCGCACCAGGTCAGCCAGAGGAGGAGCTGCCCCGGCTCGAGGCCCTCGGGGGTGAAGGTGCGTTGCTGACGAAGCCCTTCCTTTCTAGACAATGAGCACGTATTCATGGACTTGGAGCTGAGGCTCAGCAAGTACTTCTCAGAGGACTGGGAGAGAGGACCGCGAGTAAGTGGGCTGCGGCCAGGCTGGGCCGTGAGGGCCTGCGGCAGGAGTGCGCCCGAAGGCCCCTCTCCCTGCTGGGCCCCCGCCTCATCTGGGCTTGTCTGGCAGGCACACTGCTGTCCCCACGTCCTCGGGCAGGCTCCCTTCTCCCCTTGAAAGAGTAGGATGAGATACTGAGTGTCGCAGCTCCTAAAACCCCGGGAAGGCCGGGCGCAGGGAGATGCCCAGGCCGCTCTTCCTCACCCTCTCCCAGCAGGGAGGCTGGAGGCCCCGGGCGCCCTTCGTCACCTCCCTCAGAGTGCAGTACTACGTGGAGAACGGGAGGGTCATGAGGTAACTGCTCCTGGTGTCCAGGACCTTGCCTGGAAGGACACCCAAGTCACAGGGGCCAAGCCGTCTGCGTGTGCCTCAGAACAGCCATGTTGGAGCAGTGTGGGGCCTGGCTGGGCCTTTACCTGTGCAGACGTGGCAGGAGGGGTTCCCGGGACCGGGGCGGTGGCCTCCCTCAGATGGCCGCCTCAGAGCTGGCAGGACAACCAGGAACCCTGATGTTCAGCAAGACAGAGAGAGGGCTGGGGACTCTGAGAAGCCAGGTGGTGGCTGATCCCGGGGGGGGGGGGAGGGTGCAGGTTCTGGGGAACCGGGAGGTGGGCTGAGGGCAGTGCCAACTGTATTAGGAGACCTAGGGGAGGCCCCTGGGCAGCCCGCCTTGTCCTGGAGCTGTGGCCGGCTGACAGCACTGGGCAGTGGGCTCGGGGAACCGGGTTTGGTGCCGCTGCGCCTGAGCCCTCGGGCAGGCCCTTCCCTCCGGGGTCCGAGCTGCTGAAGGCTGCAGCCAGCCTGGCTGGGCTCCGCTGGGGGCAGCAGCTCTCTGCTCACGGAGAAGGTGCGCCCGGCACTACCCTGTGTCAGACAAGGCTGTGAACAGGGGAGGCTGGGCGCCCTGGACCCCACCCGGCTCTGCTGCCTTCCAGTGACCAGGTGGCCCGGCACCTGTACTACTGCAGCCTGAAGGAGCGGGTGCTGCGGTCCCAGTGCGCGCACAGGGAGGAGGCCTACTTCCTGCTGGCCGCCCTCGCGCTGCAGGCCGACCTGGGCAGCCACCGCAAGCCGCCGCACGTGGGGCGGTACTTCGAGCCACAGGCCTATTTCCCACAGTGGGTAAGGACCCCTTGGCCCCTTCCTGGGGGGGTCACTGACACTGTCCCCAACAGGACTCTATGGGGTTCATGCAGAGGGGAGGCTGCAGAGCTGGGAGGGGCAGGGTGGGGAAACCTGGGGGAGCCCAAGGCAGGCGTGTGGCCGCGTGGACCAGTGCCAGGGCAGACTCCGGTGCTCCTGTGCACACTCGGCCAGCTGTGCGACCTGGAGCCAGTGGCTCTCCTCCTCTGAGCCGCTGGGCCTGCCCAGCTGGGAAGAACAGCCCACCTGCCCCTTCTCTCCAGGTATCCCAGGGCCCTTTAGGGGCCACTCACGCCCATGCTTCAGCCCTTCGGTGCCCTGGAGGAGGGGGGTCAGGGATCAGAGGAGTCCACCTTGTGTTCCCAGCCCCGGGCACTGTGCTTGGCTTCGTGGGGGCACTGAGCACTGGGTTGTCCTTCCAGGGACAGTGGCCCCTGCCCTGGGCAGAGTCCTAGTTTCCCTCCCTGTGGGCGTCTCCTTGTTCCTTGGCTGCCCCAAGCAGCTGGAAACTGTCCACTCTGCACACTGGTCACTGTGCCCAGGGCTGGGTGCAGTCCTCCAGGTACCCCGTCCCTCTGGACACGGCTGGCCCTCCTCAGATGCACGTCCCTCAGGTTTCACCCCGTGCACAGACGTAGCCTCCTCCTGGGCCGCTGGGAGCCGTACGGGGAGTCGTGGCTTGTTGGGCGCACACTGCCACCTGGAATCAGCTTGTTTCTGGGTCTCTGTGGTGGGCACTGGGGGGCCCAGAAAGAGAGGGGCTTTCCTTGGGTGCTTTGGGGAACTCCACACACTCCTCTCTGTGTCCCCAGCTTGGACAGCAGGCCCGGTCCTCCCGCTGGACGGCTGCAGCTGGGGAGGTCCTCTGCAATGGCAGGAGGCTGGGAGGCTTCCCAAGGAGGAGGCCAACTCAGGGGATGGGAGGGAAGGAGGGGAGGGAAGGAGGGGTGGAGCTGACCTGGGCCCGTCCTCAGGTCATTGCCAAGAGGGGTGTCGACTATATCCTCCGGCACGTGCCCACCGTGCACCGCGAGCAGCAGGAGCTCAGCCCCCAGGCAGCTGTGCTGAGGTTCATCAGGGACGCCTGTCAGCTCGAGGACGTGCCTGTCCACTTCTTCAGGCTGTACAAGGTTGAGCCCAGAGCGCTGGGGCCCAGGACAGGGGAGGGACAGAGCCCCCATGCTGACAGCGTGCTGGGACCCTAGGACAGGGCAGGCAGAGTCCCCTGCAGAGGACACTGTAACCTGGATCCCAGAGCAGAGCTGGACAAAGTCCCCACGGGTGACAGTGTGACCAACCATCCTGGGGACCGAGGTCCTCAGGACAGGCTGGTGTGGTGAGGGAGGGAATGTGTTCCCTGGTGGCTGTCCAGAGGTGGTGTGCAGAGCTTCCGCAGGGCTCCAGCGAACCCCGAGGGACTGGGGACCCCGAGCCTGCTGGCTCAGCCACGGTTGCTCTGACTGGGGTCTAGTGCTGGGACCTCGGGCCTGGCCCCTGTGTCCACCCGGCCAGGCACACAGGTGACACAGCGCTCAGTCTTTGCGGAGAGGACTGGGTGGAGGTTTCTTGGGGCAGGTTAAGGGGTTCAGACACGTTCGGGGAATGGAGACTGAGGCAGTGCCTGGGCAATTGGCAGGGACAGCTCCAGCACACAGAGGGCCAGGGGAGGGTCCAGGACAGAGCTGGGTGGGGCATGGTGGTCTCTGGCTTCTCGCCACCCCAGGCCCAGGGCCTCCACCTCTTGCTCCTTCCAGGATAAGAAGCGTGAGCACCCCACCTTCCTTCTGGGACTCACCCTCAAGGGAATGCATATCTATCAGGTGAGAGAGGGGCTCGCCCCTCCCCGGAGGCCCGCCCTGGCCGCCCTCCTGGACTCAGTGCCTCTGTCTTGCAGGAGGTGAGCCACGCTCCGCAGCTGCTGCACGACTTGCCCTGGCCCTGCATCAGGAAGCTGGCCTTTCTGGTGGGTGTCTGCAAGGGCCCTCAACACTCCGGAGCCCCGGGGCAGATGCATCTCCGTCCTTCGGGGCAGATGCAGGCTCCCTTCCTCCTGGCTCCCGACAGCCCCGGATGCTCTGGACATGCTCACCGTCGCAGCTGTGCTGGCAGGGCCCTGCCGGGACTGGGCGAGTAGCTGAGATGTGAAGGGAGGTCCTGACGCCCTTCTCATTCCATGTGACTTCTGGCTCCCGAGTGGGTCCTAGAGGCACACCTGTGCCGCCTCTGCCCCTCTCATCCGGCTCCAGAGCTGTCACCCTGGGCCCCCTGTGACTGAGAGTGAGGGCCACTGGGTAGAACGGACAGGGAGACTCAGCCCTTTAGGTCCCACCCTGGACACTTGCACCCTCACCCAGCCAAGGCAGGGGTCTGCATAGAGGGCTGCCTTCTCATGGCTAAGGTCAGACAGCCTCCTGATCCCAGTGACCACAGAGATCCGTTTGCTCACGGAAGACAAGTCTTTAAAGGGGACCTTGGCCATCGCCCAGTTAGAGGGCCATGTGATGTCTTTCCTATGGCTGGAAGGGTTTTTAACGTATAAAGCCACATCTATTGTCCCTTCTGTCTACTCAGGGAAAGAAGCTGCAGATCCAGCCGGCTGGGCTGCCCCCATCCCGGAAGCTGGTTTTCTACACGGGTTCTCCCTGGCGCTCCCGGCACCTGCTCCGGCTGCTCCGCTCCAGCCACCAGTTCTACCTCAGTGTGAAGCCCCGGCTGCAGCGGCTGCAGCTGCTGGATGAGGCTGAAGGTGGGCGCCTCCCCGCTGGGGTCTGGGCACCTAGCAGACAGCTGCTCACCCCCTCTGAGGGGTGGAGATGAAGCAGATTGTCGCTAGAACTTGCCCAGGACCTGGGCCACCCACTCTGGGCTCAGCAAAAGGGTTCTCCCGTAATGGCCAGTGGCCTCTCAGCTCCTGTCCCCCAGACGCTCCGGGTGAAGGGTGGTGGTGACCTCAGCAGGAGCCTAGAGATGAGGGTGGGGTGCAGGCAAGGTGAGGGCGGCTCAGCTCTGCCCGGGCTCCGGAAGCCCCCTTTCCGACTCCTCACATCGTCCCTTGTGCAGAATCAAGGCCACGTGAAGACCTGGCTGCAGTGCTGTGCCAGGCCTGGTCTCACTGTCCCAGTCTTCACCTGGGGACTGTTCTGTGTCCTTAGAGAGCACCGGGAGACAGTCACGTGTGCACACTGCAGTCACAGAGCACGGGTGGGCGTGTGTGTGAGCACATGTGTGTCTGCATAGGGGGGTGAGCTTGCACAGATGTGTTTGTCCTGTGTAATGAGGCAGCCCTAGGGGACACCAGCCCTGTCCTGGGTGGCCGTGACATCAGGGATGCTCAGGATGAGCCTGTAGCCTGAGACAGCAAGAAAGCCCCAGGAAAAGCCTTGTGGGCCCTGTCCCCGGGGCCAGGCCTTCCTCCACGCCTGGGCTCCGCCTGCCTCCAAACCCAGCTCTACATCTGTCCCCCACGCCCTGCAGAGAAGAAGCGCTACCAGGAGGCCTACATCAGCGACCCGCTGGACTTGGACCCAGAGCTGGCCAGCAGGCACAGGAGGGACACTGGCCCGCACCACCACCACCGCCTCTCGCTCAGCTCTGCTGACAGCCACGGCAGTGCCCACACACTGGGCACAGAGGCCGACTCTCAGCCTGCAGAATCTGGGGAGGTGTCTGTGGATGAGCCCGTAGCTGCTGAGGGCCTCTGCAGGAAGATGCCGTCCATCAGCTTCAGGGACAGCGGGGGCAGGAAAGGTGGGCTGAGGAGAATGAGGCAGCAAAGAGCCTGCCCAAGTGCCATATGCGGGGAGAGGCCAGGCTGCGTGTCACAGTGACTCTCTGGGAACATGCCCGAATGTACCACCCAGGGCCACCTGGTGGCACCTAAGGCCAGCCAGAGTCCTCTGGGGTTGCCCAGGGTCAGCAGATCTGTCACTAACCAGTGTCCACTGCTGGGCTTCACCTCTGATGTCTGGACCAAGTTGTGGTCTAGACCCAGTAGAAGTGACCACAGCACCCCCCTGGCCTGGAGAAGTCTGTTCTGTCTGACATTGGAGCAGACAAGGCCGCAGGACAGGGAGGGCTACTGGGGGAAAGTGGCCAGCACGACCCAGGCCTGGCTTCTCCCCAGCCTCAACACAGACGTGCGCTGGGCAGGCTGGGCCCCAGCTCTCTGGGGAGGTCCTGGGCCTCCTGGGGCTGCTCACCTTCCCCTCCTGATGGAGCCAGGTGGGGCAAGGAGAGGGGTCCTGTGTCGGTGGAACCCGATGCCCTGGGCTCCCCGGGACACACAGGACCACCTCGCAGTGGACACTGTGAGACCACAGACCACCTCGCCTGCTGGCCACGAGGAGTCGGGGCTCCAGGACACAGCACGGGGGCGGGCGGCTGCAGCCCAGCTGCAGGTGCAGGACGGGCCCTGCCAGCCCCCGCTCAGGCCCCTTCCTCCTCCTCAGCCTCCTGCTCGGGGCCCTTCACAGTGGTGCAGGTCCCGCTGGCCAGGACCAGAGGCCAGAGCGCCGAGGTCCTACACAAGGTAGGGCCCCTAGGTCCAGGTTGGGCAGTGTGGCCTGCATGTGACCCATGTGTGGCCCACAGGTGGCCATGTATGTGACTGTCCCCATTCTTCCCTCCATCCCCCTCTGCCACGTGTGGGGTCTCTCTGGGACAGCCCTCGGTTGGGCCCACCACCCCTGATTGCCGCAGCAGAGGCCAGCCAGGGGCTGTGTGATGGTAGCAGAGGACCTGGCGGTGGAGGGTGGCGGGGGGGGGGGGGCGGGGGAGGCGCAGCAGGGTTGAAGCAGAGCTGCTGCTGCTGGAGTCAGGGGCCTCGAGCACCCGGAGCAGAGCCCCCCGGGCGGGGGCAGGTGGGCCTCAGGCCGTGCCAGGCAGTGGGAGCCCTGCAGGGGTCCAGTCCTCCTGCCAGAGGCAGAGCACACCCAGCAGGGAGCACAGGCTTGTGACAGCAGCTGGGCTGGCGCCCGCTGCTGAGTAAAGAGCCCTGGGTGGCTTCTCCCTGCAGGTCCGGGAGGCGGAGCCCAGCGGCAGGGAGGCCCTGCACAGCCGCAGCCTGGACCACACGCATCAGCTCCAGCCAGCCCCTCGCCCTGCACCTGCCTCTCATACCTGTGCCTTCAGCTGCGCCCTGGCCGGGCTGCTGGTGCCCCAGGAGGCCAGGGCTGCCCTCTGTGGCAAGAGGTCCATGAACTGTCTCTCCCTGGACCTGCTCAGGGAGGGCGCGTCCTTGCAGGAGTTTGTGGTGTAGACACTATCCACAGGTGCCTCCGTCTGCGCCTGCCAGCCTGAGGGTGGCTCACCCCAACACCACTGCCCTGTGGCCAGCCCGGGGCAGGGCGGTCTTGGCCCTTGCCTCTTCTCTCTTCCAACCCCCACTTCCTGGCCAGCTTCCAACGGTCTCCCCCTGTGGGAGGTGTGAAGCCAGCTCGGACGTCAGCTCAGGGTGACGGGGGTCCTCCTCGTGCCTGTCTGTGGCCCATAAGCTCCTTCCCCAAATGATAAGTCAGGGTCTGGACATCCAGCGTCCAGGAGAGCCAGGAGTCAGTGGTGTTGACCCTGGGGCAGCGCAGCAGCCTATGTGAAGGGTGTCTGGCCAGCCTCAGGCCCTGGGGGAGCCTGGCCTCCTGCACTTACACTGCCCGCACGGGCCCTAAACCCAAAGCTGCAGCTCACCATTGCACCACTGCGCCATGGCCTCTCCTGGACCTTGCTTTTTGTGATTCTGCTCAGAAGTTCAGGGTCCTGCAGATGCAGGCCTCTCCTGCACTCTGGGCCCAGCTGTCTCCCAGGCCCAACCCAGAGACCCTGTCACCTCCTGCACAGACATACCACCAGGTAGAGGATGGCTCCCTGCACAGACCCCTGCCCTGAGGCTGAGGCCTCTCCCGCCCCAGGCCGTGCTCTCTTCCCGAGACATCCCAGCCTGGCCCAGAAGTGCTGTGGTGCGATGGCCCTGCTGGTGGCAGGGAAGGTGCCTTGGTTGGGGCTGCTCCTCTGCCTCATCTGCCTGCCACCACAGTGGCCCCTGCCTTCCTCCCAGGAGGCTCCAGGGGCTGCAGGCAGGTGGATCCCACGGGTAATTCCGCCTTGGTGTCTTAGGTGCCTGAAAAGCCCAGGGCTGGGGGTTCATTACTGTGGACTCTACACAGGGGCCTGCCAGCATCCTGCCGTCCTGTTTGTTTGGACATGTGGACTTGTGTGTCTGTTGGCTAAGCCCTGTGTGGTCACTGGGAGCCATCGCGGCACAGCAGTAAAGAACCAAGCACACCCAGAGCCTGGGTTCGTCCTCTCCCGGGGGCTGGGACCAGGCATAACAGTTCTGCAGTGAGTGCACTCGGGGACTTCTCTCAAGCTGAAGGCTTCATCCCAGGACAGTGTGACGTGCAGGGAAAGACCCGCCCAGAGATCCATGTGCAACTGGGGACTGTGGGTGGGAAAGGCACCGGAGCTGTGAGGACAGTGGCCAGGACCAGGCCTCACACAGCGGGCACAGGCTGCCTTCCCCAAGACGGGGACGAGAAGGGGTAGAGAAGGGGTTCACCTGGCCTGGGGAGGGTCAGACCAGCTCCCTTCAGAGACACTCGAGGAGCAAAAGCCCAGCCCACGTAGGGCAGGAACGTGCCCACTGAGGGAGCAGGCGTGGTGAGGGCCTGGACAGGATCCTGCCCACACAAAGATGTCCTCACATGTGCGCGCCCCCGCCCCACATGCAGTCACAGCCCACGGGCAGGCGCAGGAAGGCGGAGGACGAGGCAAGCGAGGCTCTCACATGGGGTCAGGCGAGCTCCCAGCCACCGGCCTCGACTTGCCCGCACTGCGAGTGTTCCTGGAGAAAGGGCCCGGGGAAGTCCCTCCCAGCACAGCACCCCACAGCCGAGGCGGAGGCAGCATGGCTGAGGGTCACCCCGAGGTCCCTCTGCTCCTCAAGGACTTGCCTGGCCCCCAGCACACCAGCCGGGGCTTGGGTTCCCGTTCACCGACAGGGATGCCATGGCCATGGCGTCTCCTCTTCTTCCCTGGCTGCTGGGGTCGAGGGTTGACCTGTCAGGCCTGGGTCTCACAGCATCATCAGTGTCACCGTCACCACCAGGGCTCCCATGGGGCCCTGAGTCCTCTGCTGAGGGTGAGCAGGCACCATGTGCCATGAGGCCATGGCTGAGGGTGGGGACCCGGTGCCTGCTGTGAGGACAGTGGCCAGGACCAGGGCCTCACACAGTGAGTCCTCCCTGAGTAGCCAGGGTGACCTGTCCAGCCCCCACCCACGGTGGGGTCACCTTTTCGTTCTGGCTGCTTCTCCTCGTGTCTGGGATGGGCCGGGAGCCCCAGCTGGTCTCTGCCAGCCCTCCCAGAGCCGGTCACAGCCTCTCTTCAAGACGTCCCCTGCCAGTCCCCTTGGCCCTGCCCTGGGTGTCCTGACTTTTCAGCACAGCTGTGGGCAGCAGCAGCAGGTCACAGGGAGGCCGGGACCTGCACCCTGTGTCCTTCCAGATGGGAGGCAGAGGGGGCTGCTGGCTGACCCAAGAACCCACTTGGGCCCTATGGGCCTTCTATTTCTGTCCTTCCTCTGGGCCTGGGGCCCATGGAGAGTTGAGCCAAGTGACCTCAACCACCAGGCTGCCCTGCTGCGGCTGCAATCTCTGGTCTGCGAGGTGGGTGGAGAGGACACTTAGAGGTCGACGGGTCAGCCCCAGGCCAGGGTCTCACTTCCTGCCTCACCCAGATGCAGCGTGGACCCTCCGCACTCTGACTCCTAGCTGGCACGCTCACTTTGTAAATGCTGCTTCTTGGGGAGCAGAGCCTGCTCTTGTGTTCCTGTCCTCTGTGCCCTGGTCAGCACCCCCTTTGGAGGATGGAGACTGCCAGCTGGAGTCCAGCCTCTGGGACGGCCTGCACAGCTCCATGACAATACGGCCTGGACGGCTGCTCTGTGGCTGGAGGAGGAGGTGCCGGGCCTCCGGTGCCTTCCCGGGTCCAGAGAGGGTCCTGCACTCCAAGCAGCGGGGCTCAGGCAGCAGCACGTGCAGCAGCCCCCGAGGCAGGTTAAGCCGCGGGCTCAGCAATGTGCGCAGGCAGTTACAGCTTCATAAATGTGCAGGAGACTTTGCAGCTGTGGGGGGCTGGGACCCCATCCTTTTCCACTGGGCACCACCGCCCTCCTCATCATGGCTGACCACACGGGGCCTGAGGCATGCAGGGGGCTCGCGCAGCCCTGGGGCCACAGCTGCAGACCATCTAACTCGGGCCTGGCGGGAGGCCTCCAGGGCTCAGGCCAGGTTGCAGGGGTGGTAAACTTCTGGGACTGGACAGCACAGGGCAGAGGCCATGTCACAGGATGGGCATGTCCTCCCCAAAGCAGAGTACCAGGGGGCAGCAGAAACACCCCCCAATCCCACAGCCCCTTTCTCAGCCCTGGGTCCTCATCATGTCACCAGTTACCCAGCACCGGGGACATGCCTCAGGCTCACTGCTGGGAGCTGGCCTGCCAAGCCAGGAGAGCCGCGTGGTTCAGAGCGTGGTTCACAGGACCGTCTGCAAAGGCCCCAGGCTGTGTGTGGCTCGTTACTCAGGCCACCAGTTCATAAAAGTGCTGACTCGGAATCTTGGGATTATTAGTGTTATTTTCCAGGTTTTGAAAGTTGGGATTGGATGGTTTTTTATTTTTCTCTGAACTTCCTTCAGACCTACTTCAGATTTCCCAGCCTTAATTCTTTCCTCCTGGCAGAGGGTGCCCATGACCACCTGGAGGTTTCCGGCCTCAGAGTCAGGCTCAAGCTGGGGATGCTGGTGTCAGACCCTCTGGTCACAGGGCTGACTCCCAGGGACATGTGTCTGTGCCCAGCTCTCGGCTCACAGCCCTCCTGCTGGCGAATGGAGGCCCCTGGCTGCAGGACAGGCCTCAGACTGGCAGCACCTTTGGGCTCCTCACCTGCCCAAGCCTCCATGGCCCCCATGGCTTGCCACTTCCCCAGCGTCCCCAGAGTCCCCAGCAGCCCTTGGCCTGGGTGCTGGCCTGCACCTAACACTGCCCGTGCCCGACTCCTGTGGACCTGCTGGGGCTGCTGGCAGCATGTGGCTTCTCCCATCTGCCCTTTGCTGCTGTCACCGTGTGCACCTGAAGTAGGCAGCCAAGGGTTCAGGCTCAGTAGAAACTGGAGTCACCATCACAGAGCATCTGGGACCACGGGCAGTGTCCTGAACGGTATGATTTCCCTGGTGCTGTGGCCTGGTCTTCTGGGTGCCAGAGGCTGCGGGGCCTGAGTGGTGCTGGAGCAGGAGGAAGAGGCCATCTGGAGCAGGGCGGGGGCGTCATCCATCATGCAGGGCCAGCTGACTCCCAGGCTGACCTCAGTCACCCACAAGGGACTCAGGATGGGCACCACTCTGGGAGGTGTGATGGGGTTGTGACCAGACCAATCCCCATTGTGGTGACAGGTCCATGAAGCGATGCCCCTGGCCCAGAGACAGGGCCCTAGAGGTCGGTGGCCACCCGGCTGCAGCCTCGCCTTGCACATGGCTTCTCATGAGAGGTGGCCTGCAGGCACCTGGTCTCTGGGGAGGCAGCTCTCATGCAGTCTTAGCTTGGCTCCTGCAGCAAATCACGGGCACAGAAATTGTTCAGGCAGAGACACGTCTGGGGGCTGGACACCTAGGCCCAAGGCCCAGGCCAACTGGACTCTGGTCAAGGGCCTCTTCCTGCTTGCCATGGCCTCACACAGTAGAAGGGGTGAGGACCCCTGGGACCTCTAATAACATCATTAATTCTGGCGTGGCCCTCCACCTCCTAACCAAGTCACCTGCCAAACCCCAGCCTCCCAGCCCTCGTTACCTTGGCAAGAGAGAGCTTTGGGGACATATTTAATCTGCAGCTTGTGGAATAACCAACTATTTTTGCACTTGGGGGCAGGACACGCCTCGGGGAACGTGGCTCTCCCTCCCAGCTCTGCAATCTCCCAGGGCAGGAGCTTTGTGTGTCCACTGTGGCACCTCCAGTGCCCAGAACACAGCTGGACACGAAGTAGGCCTCCAGGGAATGGATGTGTGCTGACCGTGTGGCTCTTTACACACCAGAGCTGGGGCCGAGGCTGGAGGCTGGCAGTGGGACAAAGCCCTGCCAAGGCACAGCTGCAGTCTGACGCCAACTTGCCCGACCACATGCCCACTCTCTCTGCCCCCAGGGCCGCGCTCACTAAGGCCGTGTCACCCAGCTCACTGGATACTGCAGCAGACACCACGTGTCCTGGAGGAAGGGGACACGATGAGGCAGTGGTCGGCTGGGCCTCGTCCTGAGCAGACAGCTTGCTGGCACCCCCAGTGACATGGGGTAGGAGGGCAGAATCCATTTCCTCTTTCTCCCCAAGGCAGCGCGTCCCTTTCTGCTGACAAAGCAGGGCTGGGCCTGGCTTTGTCTTACCCTGCCAGTCGCAGAATACACAGGCACACGGCCTCTTTGAGGGTCACTGGCCCCTGGCTTCAACCCTGTGCTGACAAAGCCCTGTCCACCCCTCCAGGTTAGCAGTTTCCCTCTGGCTCTGAGGCCTGCTGTCCCACACACTCTGTGTCGTGGGAAATCATCCCTCACAGGCTTGGGCATGAGATAGAATGGGGTGACCACAAGGGGACAGCACAGCACCCACACACTCAGCCCCCGTGCCCTCCCCAGTGTCGCGGACCTCCCCCACGCTCTGCTCGGAGCCAGGTCCTCAGGGAACCGCCCCAGCAGAGGCACTGGACCCCTCTACGCCCTGACACCCAGGTCCTGTCCTTGCTGTCACTCAGTGGTCAGGAAGTCTCTGCCTCCCCTCGTGGTCCATCCCTCACGCAGCCGTTACGTGCTTCTTAAGCTGCTGCTGAATCCTTTCTTCCAACAAATCAGCACAAAACATCTTTAAAACCAGGGACCTCAGACCTCCTACAGGTTTGAAGAGAGTGGGGTGCAACTCCGGCCTTGCATGAAGGAGCTCCCGGAGGGAGGGCCCCCAGGGGGTCAGAGCTGAGGGTCAGCCTCTGGCCATGTTATGTTCCCCTGGTGCAGGCTATCTTTGGGATGTGTGCCACTCTGTTGCCACCCAGAACGGGGGTTCCTTGCCCTCCTGGAGATGTTTGGGGATACACACTTGTACCCCAGCTTTCCTGTGCTGCCCGAGTCACTGCTGGGCACTGAGTCATCTACGGGCAGCAGATCCAGAGAGGCCTGAGCCTCCCTGTCTGAGGACTGACACCCACGTCCTGTCCACACCCCATATTCAGTGTTAAGCAGGGTCTACACTGACCTAAATCCAGTTCAGCCTTGCACCAGTCCCGAGTGCCTCTCACCTGAGGTCAGGCCTGTCCAGGGTCAAGGGAGGTACAGGGGGCTGTCATTGTCTCAGGTCACACCTCCTCCCACCCATGGCTGAGTGAGGGCCAGCCTACTCCCGACACCACCAGACCTGGTTCTTTCATGTGGGGGGGTACTTGAGGGTCCTGGGAACTATGAGACTCACTCCCCTTTACCAGTCTCCCCTCAGCCTGCCCCGTGGAGCATACAGTTCCTGCTCACAGCCTTCCCCGGCAGGAGTCCCTCCTGGGCAGAGGCCTCCCCAGATGGATGGCCAGATGGTGGCCCACCCTCCTGCCCCAGCTGGCCTCTGCTCTCCACATACTTGGGTGGAAAGTTCGATCCAGGGACCAGCTGGGCTCCCCTCGCCCCCTCCTGTCCCACAGAGCCCCGAGCCCCAGCACCAGGAGTTGGGGAAAACACAAAGTGACTTCAAACTGCTCTTCCGACCACTGCTCTGTGGGCCTCCGGGTCTAGCCCTTCCCCACAGGCCTGCGGGCAGGGTCTCCTGCGCTTCTCTGTCAGCCTGGTACAGCGGGGCTCTGCCCAGAAGGTCAGAAACAAGGAGTGCAGCTCTCAGGTTGCCACTGGGTCCTGTGACATGGCTCCCAGCACACGCGGACACCGCAGCGGGCAGATCCCCAGCCCCCTCCAGGCCCTTCTACTGCCCTGGCATCAAGTCCCCCGATGCTGTGGTTGGTTTCCCACACCTGGAGCTGCGTGAGTCCAGAGGCTGGTGGACATGAAATGGGCTGTTTCCTCCTCGGTGCCCAGAGCCCTGACTACTCATAGACCCCTGGCCACGAGCTGGAGGTCTCGTCACCTCCCCTGCCACTGTGCCCAGCCTGGGCCCTCACTTGGCCAGGGAAGCAACGTACAGACACCTCGGGGCGGTGTGCTGTGAGTACGGCACCTGTTCTGCTCCACCAGGCCTCACTGCCCATACTGTGCACCCCTGATCTTCACCCCAGCTCACAGACAAGGAAATGGGGCCTTCCCTCTCTGGGACACAAAGCCGGGAGGAGGCAGAGCCCAAGTCTGTCTAGTTCTGGAGCCTGTGCGCAGAGCTCCTGGGTCTGTGGCCTCGTTTGTGTCTAAGGAGGCACAGCACGCAGAGCTGGGCCTCCTGGGGGGCTGCGGGCCTGCTGCACAGACAGCACAGCTCCTCACCCACCTGAGCACCTGCTGCCCACCTGCTCCGGGAGGAGGCTCCTTGGACGAGCCGTCCTCTCTCTGGCCTCCTGTGCCGGGTGATTTGGCCTGAGCTGTGCGCGGATCTCCCAGCCAGCCAGCCACAGGTCCCTGGGGCACAACAGGCTCATCAAATCCAAACACATTTATTCCTCAGGCACCCACACTAGAAAACAGTGACAGAGAGCACACTTCCGGGGAAGAGGACTCATCGAGATGCTGAGCCCACGCACGACTTCCTCACCTGGGCGCAGGAAGGCCTCTTCCCAGCCTGTCCCCGCTCAGCCTGCCGAGCTCGGGCCCCAAACCCCAGGCCCTGCAGTGTCTCTGCCACGTGCTTCTGCCCGGGGGACACACAGAGGATCACCAGGAGCTTCGCATCACCCCCTTAAATAAAAGGAACAAGATGTGAGCTGAGTAGGAGTCATGACAAATGGCATCTATATGTCCCAAAGCACTGGACGGAGTCCAGCTGCCTACACAAAGTCCACTGGCACTTGGAGCAGAGTGCGGTCCCCAAAAAGGTGGCAGATACAGGCCCTGAGGCTGCACCAAGTGCCCTCACCCCACTCAGCAGAGCTGCAGCTCCCACAGCTTGGGGCTCATGGAGCAGGTGGCCCTGGCTACTGCTGAGTCCAGCGTGGTGGAGGGAGAGATGCGAGGCCTTCCCCAAGAGCCCTGAGCCTAGCTGGATGTCGAGGGGTGCACCTCTGAAGGCACACACCAGCCAGCCCTACCCAAGACTGGAGAGCACAAGTGCAGTTGCCACCAAGTGCCAGGGACATTGGAGAGGGGACCTCCCAGAAGCCCAGCAGACTTGGGTGGGCCCCAAGGACAATCTGGGCCGGGGACAGCTCCCCCAGGCTGAGCTCACAGTGTTCTCTATTCTGGGTTCATCCGAGGGGGACGAACCGATGGTGTCCTGGAGCAGGTGGGTAAGCTTGCTGTTCCGATAAGGCACGTGGCCACGGCGCTCCGACAGGGCACCCAGGACATCTGCCAGGGCTGCAAGGCTCCGGTTGATGAACGAGGTCTCCCTTAGTGCCAGGCCAGTCACCCCAGATGCACCTGCAAAGCACAGGAGCCCCCTCAGCCACCCTGCACTTCAGCAAGCGCCCAGGAGTAAGGAGGCTCTTGGGCGGAGGGCCTCTCGGCAGCTGGTGGGGAGGCACCTCCTGGGAGTCTTTACAGTGGACTCCGCCATCGCGCCAGCATGGCTCCTCCAGGGGCCAGAGCTGCTCCTGGAAACTCAGGAGGAAGAACGTGACCTCTGACTGCCCTGGGGAGACCTCCGATGGCCAAATATGACAGGGCTTCAAGTCACCTGAGCAGAGGTGCCAGGCTCAGAGCTTCCTGGTGGCCGGTCACAGCCTGGCTGTGGGCACCCCCAGGTGAGGGCTTCTGCCTGCTGCCTGTCTACCCAGCTGGTGGCCAGCTGCTGCTCACCTGCACACTCACTGCCGGCCAGGTCCACCAGCTGCAGCTTGGCCCGCGCTTGCCTCGCAGAACCCCTGTGGTCCACAGGAAGGGGCTGGAGAGGCGGAGCCTGGGGAGAGGTGCTCCACCCCTTCCCTGCCCCAGCGTGACCCTGCAGGGGGGCTGGATGGTGCTGCGGGCCTGGTGGGAGGGGAGGACAGAAGACAGCCGGGCAGGGAGTCAGTGCGGAGGCCTCTTGCAGCTCCACCCTCCAGGCCTCACCCACCAGCGAGAAGCTGGTTCTGCCTCTCTCTTCCTCTTAGAAGCAAACTGGGCAGAGGGGCAGTCGGTGGGTTCTGTAGGGGACTATAACAAGAAAAGGAGGCGGGTAGCATGCTTCACATTGGGAAGTCGAACGAACGCCCAGTCCATCCCAAGAAAACTAAATAATGCTTCCTGGAAGTCCGGGTGACGATGGTGACTGGAACCCCGGGAAAACCCATGCCCTCCTGGAAATCCATCCATCAGCTTCACAGAAGCCCGAAGAAGTGCTGTTTCCATGGGTATGAAGTCTCGCCCTGCGAAGTTCCTGAACAGACTCCACGAGACCCTCGAGAGCTTATGCTCATCGCACAAAACAGAAAACACAGAGATTTTCGTAGGAGAGCCCAGAATCCCTGCACAGAGGCACCTCTGTGTCTGTGTCTTGTGGCAGCCCTCACAGGATCAGCAGAGCTCCCTACATATCAGGTGCCTGGCGCTACCTGGGCCCTACCTGAGCCCAGTCCTGTGCCGGGCAGTAGTGTGCTGGCTGGTGGAGTGGCTCGAGGAGTGATATGCTGCCCCCGCCCTCCCTTGTCCGGGGACCACAGTGTGGAGTGTCATTGTGATAAGACGCACCACATCTGTCTACACTGGCCTTATGAGCTGGGGCAGATCAGCAGGGCTTCCCTGGGGCTGTGTGGGGGGCGGGGCCAGAGCAGGGCTCTGCATGACACACCCTCTGCACCATGGACTTCCGCGGGGCCTAGCCTTGCCTTGCCTCCTGGCGCCCTGCCGTGCACCCGTGCGCAGGCACGTGTGGGCCTCTGTGGCTAGAGTCCAGGAGCTCTGCTCTGGACGCCGTGGGCCTCTGTGGCATGACACGGCCTTTCTGACACGCCAGGTGTTGTTCTCTCTCCCACTGTGCAGTCCCCTCAGGACGCTGCCCCACGCCCCCAGGTGCCGCATGCCCTGTTGCCCATGTCCCTAGCAGATGCTTCCTCCCGCCCACCTCCCTCTCTCTCCCCAGCCTGGGTCCTAGGGCCTCCTGTGTTCAGGTCCCAGATCCCAGGTCGTTGGAGGGTGTGGCTGCAATTCCTGCTCCAGACCCCGCGGGGACCCCGGGATTTTTCCTCTTGGTGGATTTCTGTTACTTGAACTGACCCAGCGCCAATAGCAGCTCACCAGTGCTGTCTGAGGGGGACACCACGGTCAGAGTCACCGTCACCACCAGGTGAGATCTGGAAGAAGCCATGTGCACCAAGGTGGGGTGCCTGGCTCTGGGCTGCAGACCTCCGTGGACAAGTGCCACCAGCTCTGCGGCGCTGGCGACGGCCCTGGCAGAGGAGAAGTGTTAGAGGGCACCCAAGGGCAGGTAGCAAATACCACCAGGCTGCCCCCAGGTCAACACAGCGTGCCACCGCTAACAGACACCGCTCCCAGACATGGGTACGGCAATTCCAGAGGAGACTGAAGCTGATTTAGGCAAAACAGAACATAAGCAATTAAAAATAACCAGTGTTTCACCAAATCCAAGGTCGGTAACCCCCAGTTCCCATCTTCCTCCATCCACCCTCACGGACCCACGTTTTTAGAATATTCTATCAAATTAAATTCATGAGATAAGAGCCCATGTCCGTGGATCGGGGCTGCTGCCCAGGCTCTGCAGGGAAGGGCTGCGTTTTGATCACAGTCCGACAGCCAGCAGCTGAGAGTCTCGGTTACTTCTGCAAACACGTCACCACCAAGTGCCTGGCACCTCAGGCTTCTGGAAACAGGACCAGCAGCCGGCACAGCCTTCTCTTGCTGAGTCTGAGTCCCCGGCTGGGCAGCCCCGCCGTGGCCTCAGGCGGGAATTCCTCCTGTCACTCCCTAGTGCTGGGTCAGGTGCTGACCCACACAGGGCTCTCACAAGAGTAACTTGAGAACCCAGGCCATGTGAGGAGTCCACATTCACAAGACGCTGTGTTACTGTGCTCTATAAAATGCTGATGTTCAAGTGTGAGGAAGTTCACTGTCCTCGACTGACCGTGGGCAGTGAGGTCACTTCGTCGGCTTTTCCTCTCCTTCAAGGTGGGGTTGAGGAGGATGGAAGACACAAGCACAGGTGGACAGGGGAGTACAGAAGGATGGGGGCTGTGACTTCACCCCAAGATGCCCCACGAGCAGCCCTGCACTCCCCGGCCTGTGCCCCCGGGTCTGAGTCTTAAGCAGCCCAGGGCCTCAGAGTGTCGGGGCCCAGTGAGCCGGCGCCCCCCACATTGCTAGCTTGCACAACCTATTTTCTTTAGACTAAATAAAGCCAAGGGAAAAAATGTTGCTAGTGACTTATGAGGTGGGAATGTTGCAAAAGTTATCTATAAACGCCCAGCAATGTCAGCCTGGAGATCCTGAAGAGAACCAGGCCCCCACCCTGAGCTCCGAGATTAAAGGAGCCTTGGCTCCCTGGTTACGGTCTCCTTTAAGAGAAGAGCCTGAGGCCCGTTTCACTCTTGAGATGGCCTGCGCTCTGTCCCTCCGGTGAGTGCCCCTTGCCTTCCTAAATGAATCTCTGCTATGCCTCTTCCCGACAGGTCCCCAAATTCTTTTTCTGCAACATATGTCAAGAGCCAACAAAAGCTGAGTTGAGGTCCCTGTCTCCCTCCTGGGCCCCATTTGGTGACAAAATGACACCCATCCCATGGACTCTGATGAAGACTTTTTAAAAGATACATTTATTTATGTATATTTTTAAAAAGTCTTTTTTCTATTTCTTTCTCTTGTGCTGAGGACTGAACCCAGGGCCCTACATGCACAGGCTGGCATTCCACCACCCGGCTCTACCCCTTTTTTATTTTCAACAGCTTTATTAGCATATTATCAACATATAAAAATTATTGAACACCTTGATGTTTTGACAGACTTACACATTGTGACACAGTCACAGCATTCCAGCTAATTAACATATCTGTCACCCCTGCACAGTTCCCAGTAAAAAAGGTCACTTTGGGCTGGGGGTGTATCTTAGTGGTGGAGCGCTTGCCTGGCACACATAAGGCCCTGGGCTTGCTTGATCCCCAGCACCATGAGAGAGAAGGAAGGGAGGAAGGATGGAAGGGAGGGAGGAGGGAAGGGAGGAAGGGAGGGAGGGAGGGAGGGAGGAAGGAAGGAAGGAAGGAGAAAAATTCTTAAACTAAGAATTGGGAGACGTGCACTAAGCACCGAGGCCCGTGTGGCCCGTCCCGCTGACCACCAGCCCGATCCTCCCTCACAGCTGGCTCTGCTTGGGCCATGGCCGATCGGCACCTGGGAGGCAACCGCCCCTCGGGGCCAGGGGGACCTCTGCCTGAACTCACGTGCAGGTCAGACCGGGGACCTCTGTGCACCCTTCCCGGGTCGTCAGGACCTCACGCTTGGTCCCAGCCGCTGCTCCAGAACCCTCCTTGGCCAGGAGATCAAAAATGTCGTTATTGTAAATCTCCACTATGGACAGCTCAGCCGTGGGGCTTCTCGGTGGACTTTCTGAAATGAGCCTGGGGAAGCACACACGGGGTTAGCCAACAGAGGACAGCCCGGCCCCATGGCAGATGGCCGCAGCCACAGACACTCAGCAGGAGTCCTGCAGCAGGGTGCAGGCAGGTCTCACAGCACCCAGGTCACTGGGAAGGGAGTCCCATCTAACCTGGAGGGAGAACCGCGCCCTGGGGACAAAGTGACTTCATGGGAGTCTTGCTTAAATCAGCTGCTGCACAGCCCTGCCCACAGGCCCCGCGGCCCAGCTGGAGAAGAAGGAAGGATTCACAACCAGGAGCAGAGACCCCCAGCCAGCTCACCCTGGGGCACGAGCCTGGGGCAAGCTGCAGACCACAGGGCTCCTTTGTCTGAACCCCCTGCTTCAGGGAGGCTTGGTCAGAAGCATGGAGGCCAATCCACTCATGAGGTCCAGCCAATGTCCCCTGGCCTCCTGCACACCCACTCAGCTCTCAAACACCACCACGAGTCTCACAGTGCTTCAGCTTTTAAAGTGTGGTGTGCTGACCACTGGAGAACTAGAACTAAGGGGGCTGCTCACCTAGAGGGGAGCCCACCCCCCACCACTGCCCGCCCTCCCACATCCCTCCTGATCCTGGTCTGCCCTCTGACAAAACTACCCCCCAGACCTGTCCCAGGCCAAAGGACAAATGAAGCTGCTTCATGGTCCAGATTCCCGCCTCCTTGACACAGCACAGTTGGGTCAGCTGATCCCCATCCTGCATTGCTCTCGCCCAGGAGGACGGGCCCAGGGGAGGGCACTGACGGTGTGCTTGAGGCAAGTCCTGTGAGATTTTCCTGTCCGAGCTTTGCTAGAAGGAGTCATTAGTCCAGATCTAGAGACAGTTGTGGGTAAAACAAGCAATCGATGTCTTCTCATGGCAAACAACAGACCTCAGCAACAGAGCAAAGGGGAAAGAGGAGGCAAGGGTCCAGATGCCAGCTGTGCTCACACTGGAGTCTGTGGGGACCGTGCCAGAAGAAACAGGGTCTGGAAGATGCCAGAGGAGTTCACTGAGCCGGCAGCTGGGTGGACATGGCCTCTGCAGTCTTGGCCTTTCCTGGCAGGGGCCAAGTGTCTCAGGGTCATGGGCCCCGAAGCAGACGCTTCTCATCCACAGAATTCCCCAGAGTTCATTTAAAATGCTCATCAAGTCGTCCTCTGGATTCCAGAAGGGGTGGGAAACTGCATCTTCTGTTTTAGCCTTTAAGCAGCTAAGTTTCTCGGGCAAGATATGCGGTCGTCACGGAGACCAGTGTCCTGTGGTCAGCCCAGGCGACACCAGCCCAGGCTCCTGGGTTACATGGGCAGGCCCTGCAGAGACCTCGGCTGCTCTGTGTCATGTCCAGTGGTCCGGCACACGTCCTCCTGCTGCGACCTCTCCACTCTAGGCTTCTTGAGGGCTGAACAGTCATCACACACACCTCATGTTCTCCATGCCTTTGGCGGTGTTGAGGAAAGCATCCTGCATCAGGTGAACGAGGGTGAGCAGAGACCCAGCCCAGGAGGCGGTGTCAATAGCCAGCTTAGAAGGAAGTGGGGAAATGCCAGAGCAGAGTCCCCGAATCTCATTTCAAACGGCAGCAACGGCTTCTCTGGTAAGTGCAGTCTAGCAGGACCCTGTTTTAGGGTAAAGGGTCCTCAGACACTCCCTGATACGCAGGCCCCGGGTTGTAATTTTGTCTTTTGGCGGGAGGACAGAGCACATGTTAACTCCGGCACACCCATGCTGCCCCCGACCAGTGCGGGCAGCTGAACTCATGTGAATTTCCTGGGACCCCAAATAAAACACAGACACACACTTTACCTTTAAATCAAGCTCCGGGACGGCTCCTCTGCTGTCGACCTCAAGCTCCCCAAATGGGAGAGTGAGGAAAGTGACGAGAGGCTGGCAAGAGAGAGGGCACGTTTGGAAGTGGGCTTTTATTGGGGGGACCCTCATTCTTAGAAAGTTTCATCAAAAAAGACCAGGAGGGGCAGGGTTACAGGGACAGGTGAGAGTAATTCGACCCCTGGGGCTGCAGGAAGGCTCGCCTATGTCTGAGGACACTTCCAGGATCCGGGCAATATCCAGGTAACTACGAAAGTGACCCACAGAGCCTCTCGGATCACGGGAAGGAGAGTGCCAGTCACTCAGTGAGACCGCCCCCCCCCCAGACTCACCCCCACGTCTGGCTGAACAATGTCTAGAGCTCGTCTCAGGTGACCAGCTGAGGTCTCAGCTCCGGGAGATCAACCTCGCCAGCTTACACTTGGACTGAGATCACACGGTGCCTGTCCCTCTGAGCCGGGCTGAGTTCTCCTGGCACAGTGATCTCCAGGCCCATCTTCTTGTACACGACAGGGTCGTCCTTCTGTGGCCGACTCGTGCTCCATGGGGCACATGCCCTGCCCCTTCTCTGTCCACCCGCAGCTGATGGACACTAGACCTTCTGTGAGTAGAGCTGCGGTGACCCAGGGAGAGCCGGTGCCCCTCAGCACACTGACTCCTCTCCTCTGGACGTGGACCTGGCAGTGGGATGGCTGGGTCACGTGCTAGTTCTACTGTTGGTGTTCCAGGGAATCTCCGTGTGGTTTTCCACGCTGGCTGTGCTGATTTACACTCCCACAACAGTGCAAGGGCCCCTTTCCTCCCCCTGCTCACCAGCGGTCACCTTCAGTCTTCTTGGCAATGGCCATTCTCACTGGAGCCTGGTGAGGGCTCACGGTGGTTCTGACTCGCATTTCCCCGACTGGTGGTGTGGAGCATTCGTAGGCCTGTTGGCCATCTGCATGAACTGACTGGTCAGGCCTGCTGCCCATCTCTTGTCAATTCTCTAAGGATTTGAGCCCTCCACGCCGTCTGCTCCGGTGTCCAGATGGCTTGGTGCTCTGGGTCCAGATGCCGAGAGGCTGCCTGTGCAGGTCCTTCACAGTGAAGGAGGAGCAGGAGGGCTGAGGCAGGCAGAGGGCAGACGCCCCCCCGGAAATCCCCTCTGCAGGCCTTCTCAGCCCTCAGCCTCCAAAGGAAGTGAGGAGCCTCGCGCTCCAGCCAGCAGTCCTGCGGCTCCCAGCTGCGGCTGGCCGTGCCTGGGGCTCAGAGCCGCACTCCCCTCCTCCTGGAGGTTCTGATCTGCTTCTCCACCTGGATGGGCACTGTCCACCTCATCTCCGAGCTCTTCTGCAGCCCACAGCTGAGCAGTGTCTACAGACACCGAGACTCCCCCAAAGCTGGACCCCAAGACCTGAGCTCAGCATCGGTGAGGCATCTCTTGGTGTGTGTCTGTGGTGGGGCCTGATGCTATTCCCAGGGCCCTGTTCTGCTCAGCCGAGGAGATGGGGAAGGATGGACGCAGGTGCCCTGGGGGATCCCTGAGGGCACAGGCATAGCTTCCCTCCCCTCACACACAGGCACATGCTGGGAAGTCCTGATCTCCAGGACCTGTCACTGCAGCACAACATTATGCAAATGCACAAGGTGGCCCATGACAGAAAATATGGAAGGACTTTGCAGCATGTACCCAGAAGTACTTAGTCCAAGTAAATTGGTAGACACGCGCGCGAATTTGACAAATATTTAAGGAATACCAGTTTGAAGACACTAAAGCACCCGGCTTGGTGGGATTGCTACATCATGGTTCATCCCTGGTTTTAGGACACAAAAGATCAACATAAGGAAATAGAGACAAAAGTCGAGTCTCAGGGTGGGGAGCACAGAGGCCGCTGGCCGTGCCATCTGTTCCCACGGGGCAGGGCCCGGGCCGGCTGGGTGGGCAGCCAGGGTGCGTGCAGAGCAGCGTGAGAACCAGAGGGGAGTGAAGAGGCCAAGCCGGGCGTGGGCTAGAGAGCCTCACCGTCGCCATGGGCCCTGCCAACCTGGGCGGCTGAGGACCCTTATGGTGTTTTCCTAGGACTAATTTAGGTGGGGACATCCTGACCATGGCCACAGGTCTCCTGTGGGGACCCGTGAATGGAACAGGAGATCCTCCATCAGGAGGGAGGAATTTGCTTCCTGGGGGGGGGAAAGGAGCCCAGGGATCCTGGTCAAGAGCTCCGTCCTCAGGAGACTTTTGTGAGCTGAGTGAACGGCTGTCCAGCGTGAGCTGACCCTGGGCCTGCTCTCCATCCCTCCCGCCCCATCTCATCCCACACAGCACCGAGGCTCTGTGCTCACAGTCACCACCATCCAAGTACCTGAAGAGCTCCTCCGCGGCTCTGGGGATAATTCCCAAGTCAGCGTGAGCCCCCGACGGCAGCCCAGGCTCATCCCCAGCACGCGGCCCCAGCATGGTGTAGCTCTTCCCGCTCCCAGTCTGCCCGTAGGCCATGATGCACACGTTGAACCTGAAAGGCAAAGCCCGCTCAGGCACAGCACACGCCCGGCCGGCCACCGCCCAGCGTGAAAGCGCCCTCACTGAAGGTGAAATTTCAACACACTTCATTTCGTGTCCCCCTGTGACTCCACTTCTTGTAAGTCAGGTTTTCATTCAGCCATGACTAGTGCCACTACGGCCACCGTGTGGCTATTCTGCACACAGCCCGCATCTCGCCCCGCCTGCTTCGCATCCGGCGTCTCTCGTGGGTCATGTCCTCTGTCAGCTCGCAGGTCACCAGGGCCGACCCACAGTGGGTCCCTTCCGAATTCCCACAATGTCTCACTGGCTTTCACCGCAGTATTAGAGTGGCCCCAGGCAAGTGCATCTTCATGTTTCATGAAATGCCATAGAAGTCTGCGTGTTTTCTTACCATGTTCTGAGAACATTTTGTTGGTTTTAGTTAGTCAGCAGTACAATGGCCACCGTCGTACACCGATGGTTTTAGGACACAAAAGGACAACACAAGGAACCGTGGGCTTTCCTTCTTGCCAGTGAACCCACCAGTGCCCAGGCCCTCCCCACCACCTGCCCTGGGGTTACTGGACCACAGTTTGTTCCACAGAAGGCAAGGATTCCTGATGGACCCTGAATTTCCCTCCAGTCCTGTAGGCCAAAACATCCATGAGAAGGTCGGAAACATCTACATACGTTTTACATTGGTTTATTACATGAAATTGTATCCTCAGCCAGAGGTGGTCTTGCCTGAAAGGTGCTGGCCAGAGGCACGCTGCAGGGTCCTCCACCCTGACTGCCCGGCAGGGTCACCCAGCACTCCCCTCACCCTGGATCTGATCTGGCTTCTCCTTTTGGATGGGCACTGTCCACCTTGTCTCTGAGTCAAGTGAGTGCTTTCCCTGGACAAAGGTTTGGGCAACTGGTTGGTGGTCATCTGAACGCTCAGTGCCCAGAGCAGTGACGAGCCCAAAGGCCCAGACTGAGGGAGCTGTCGCATCCCCAGAGACCTTGGGGCCACAGGGACCAGCTCAGGGCCTGTAAGCTGTCGCCCTGCACTTCGGGATTGAGGAGGCTCGAGGCATGGTGACGGGAGCCACCACACCCCACTCTCATCTGAGTAGCCCACCTCCCTTGCCCTTGACCCAGCAGAGCTCCCCCCCCGGGAGGGGGAGCAGGCAGGCAGCACAGAGGCTGGGACAGTGCAGCGCGCTCCGGTTACCAGGGGAAGGCAGGTGCAGCCGAGACTGCACCACGGACTCCTCACTTCTGAAAAGATGCCCGCTGACCGGAGCAGCCTGGCCATCTCCAGGGCAGATGGACACAGGCCAGCTGAGGCAGAAACTGCCCAGCGGTGAGCGGGGATCGCTGGGTGCCGGGGTGGTGAGGTGGACATGGCCAGCCCCACTCCACAGATCACAGGCCTCGGGGCAGCCAGGGCACCAATGGCGAGACAGCAACCCTGCAATTAGCTTCTATTTGTGGAGGTCGGTCACGCCGCCTCCTCTCTGGGCAGACATAGGGGCGTCTTCTCCAGGGAGTTGGATGTGGACCTCTGGGCAAGTTGTGGTCTGAGGATCCTCAGTTAAATATTCCAACCTGGTTTAACTGATGGCTAAAGAAGTGCTCTTTACTCCTAAGACCCCTGCCTTTAAAACCGGTAGTTGTCTTTTCTAAGAATAGACAGAGCCCCCGACATGATGGAGCGTTCACAGCAGACTTCTAGAACGTGTGAAATGTAAAGAATCCCAGAGGGTAAAGGCAGCCGCTAGGAGGCTCGAGTCCACCCACAGCCACCCAAGCCCTGCTCAGGCCCGTACGCTCTGCCCAGCAGTGGCCTCCATCTCCAGGGGTGGAGGCATGGTGCAGTGCAGGACACAGAGCCAGCACTGGCCACAGGCTGCCCCTGGCCAGGCCTCTGATTTCTGTATGGGAAAGAGGTTTGTGATCACTGGCCTTAAAAACGTTTTCACTCACCCGTCCAGGAAGGACGTCAGTAGGGGACACACATCTGCAAACACAGCCTCCTGAGACTCTGCTGGACCGTAGACTCTGTGACAAACAGAGGCTGCGTCGGCGGAGGAAGGCTGCTCCGGCGTCCTGCAGGAGCGGGGCCTGTGTGCAGGCCTACACGTGCACCCCGACACACTCGAGACCCCTGCCTGTCCACAAGCTGAGAGGATGCGGGAGGTGGACAGGTGGCGCCCTGCCTGGGAGCTCAGAAGCATAGGGGTGTGCTGCTGGACGGCGCCTGGTGGACTGTGTGTGCTCTGAGGTCCACTGCTTCTCCCTGGAGGCTCTTTCAGGACACCCTGCCCCTACTCACTTGTCCCTAGCTGGGGACTTGGAGGAGTCCGTGAATCTCCAACTGTCCCCACAAAGCCAGAGGCCACTGCAGGGTCAGGAAGAGAGTCCTCAGACATTGCAATTAGGAGCAGAGGACTAAGCCTGTGCCGGGGGCCCCTCACCATCCTTTGGTGGTGGGGGGAGGACCTTCCCACTCAGGAGCCAGGATCACTCACACCCAGCTGACCAGGAAGGCCTCTGACTCAGGCCCCGTTGTTTGAGAGAGAAAAGAGAGAAAGAGAGAAAGCCCTGGATTTACCTGGGGGGTGGGCACAGGGGTTATCTCTAACCGCCATCCCCCAGAGGCAGGACAGGGGGCACGTGTCAGTCAACCCCAGGCACGATGTGCATGGTTTATGTGTACTCGGCCAGCACTTACCTTTCAAAATTATACGTCTTATTGATCTTAGGGTGACCAGGACGATGGCATTTCACCAGAATCGTTTCCTAATAGAGACAAAATAGAGCCTTCAGACCCAGCCAGGGCTTCACTAATCAAACGGGAGCCAGGGTGGAGGACAGGCCCTGGGCCAGGGCCAGCTGTGGCCTGTTTGGTCGACACAGTTTCCTGGACCACCCGGAGCCCTTTGCTGACGAATGCTGCAGGCTGCGAGGTGCAGGATAGCTCCAGTGGTCAAGACAGAGGACGCACGGCCTCGAAGACGGCAGCCTGCAATGCCTGGCCCTTAGAAAAAGGTTTGCCTGCCCCAACCCAGAGAAGGCACTCACACCGTGGGGAGTATGTGATGGCCTGGGGCCAGTGGCCTGAGCATCCTGGGCACTTGCAGTTTCCCATAGGGGATGAAGCCCCCGAGGCTGGAGAGCCGCTTTCCAGCCACTTCCCCTGGGCCTACTGAGCCGTCTCCTTGAGGTACCTCCCATGGGAGGGGAGCCGAGGCCGCCCTTCAAGAAGTGGGGCACCAGCTTTGGCTGCGGCTGAACAGAAGGAGGTGGATGGGCTCCAGTTCCAAAACAAACTGAAATTTCATGGAGAGACAGCAGCTTGGGAAGGCAAAACAGCAACAGCACAGTTCTGAACGGCCAGGCGTTTGCTGTCCACAAGTCCTTGTATTTGGAGGAAGCAGGATGGGCGCTCCCCACCCCCTGGCCAGCACACGATGCGTGCACAGGAAGAACATAGGGATTTCTGTGAGATGACAAATACATGCCACCACGTGCCCATTCCGGGGTAGAGCCACAGGCTGTGGGCCCGACAGCTGTCAGTGCGAGCAGTGGTCCTCTTCGCTGTCCACTGCTGAAAGCCCCTAATGGCAGCCGCTAGAGCACAACGCTGCACACCTGGCCAGGTGGGGCTCCTGGTGTTGAGCTCTGAGGCTGCCGCACAGGCGACCCTTCACCGTCTGCAGTCACAAGTAATGCCACGTGAGTCCCAGCATGCATCTGGGTACGGCAGGCTAGGGAGACACGACTAAATGTTGGCCTCTGCACACATCCTGCGGGGATGAGGCTTGGCTTTGCCTGACAAACAGCCTGGCCCGGCCCCTCCCACCTGCAGCGCCTGCCCCGTCAAAGCACGAAGGCCCTGCCCGTGCCCGGCCTGTCCTTCACACCACTGCATAGGAATATTTCCAAGATGCCAACTGAAGAGGGGGCAGTGAGGTCCCTGAAGCCCAAGAAGCAGTCACGGGAGGGACAGAGCCAGGTCTGGCAGAGGGTCACCCAGCCCTTACTTCAAGTCCCTGTAAGCTGTGGTGGACCAGGAGGTCATCTGGGCCAGGATGAGAAGATCAGGAGCGCAGGTCGGGGAGCCTGTCCAGGGGAGGGCAGCTCAGCGAGACCCTAGGGAGCACTCGCTGTGCGCCATTGCTTCGAGAACAAAAGGTTCCTACACCCCCCTGTCGTGACCCCAAGACAGAGCTCGCTGCTCTTCTCACCCCCTAAACTCCCTAATAAAAGGCAGGAGCCAAGCTCAGATACCAGCCACGACCAGTGCACCCACAGCCTGGCTGCCACACCCCAACATGGCCAGCCTCGGCCCCACTCCCCCGGCCGGCACCCCTCTCACTCGACCCCGGGAGTGACCCCCATGCCACGCAGGCATCAACAGGAAGTAACGACCCAGCTTCAGCTGTAAGGAAAAACCAGTGGAAAACCTGACGCTCGAGGGGTTCTCTAAGGAGCACAGAGGGCCCAAGCACAAGCTGGAGACCAAGCGCCCTCGGGCTCCCGGGACCTCCGACTGCAGTGCCACCCGCGGAGGAGAACACCGAGACCGTCCCCAGAGCAGGGAGTGGCTGTCCCAGCCCAGCTCAGGGCTCTTTTCTGCCTGTGCCCACAGAAGCTCCCTGTTCACAGCACTGCATGCCTCTCCGTCTCAAGAATACAGCCTCCAGCCCCGGGTGGGGGCTGCCTGTGGTGGCGCGTTCCCCAGAGGCTGTGGATCTGCAGCCGCTCTCCCGCAGCCCCGTCACTCGCGGGCTCAGCCTCCGGATTCTCGCCATTCCTGAGGCTTCTAGAGGCAGAGGATGGAATCCAGCGTCCTGCAGCGAGGACCGGGCTCCAGGCCAAACCGCCCCAGCCCTGCACGGTCTGTTTCTTATTCCTACCTAGCTTCCTAGCTAGCTTTCAGACCTGTAGGGCTCAAAACTGCTCCCAAATTCCAGATCTCACATTTTATAGAAATAAGTCTGAGGCCAGGAGGAAAAAGGCAGACCCCATGCAGACTGGACAGCCAGCTGCTCCACCGCCGTGCCCCCCCGGGGAGGCGCACTCATAGCCAAGGCTGGGCCTCCTCCGGTAGCAGAGGGGAGCCCCACCCTCCTGGGGGCCTAGGCGGGGCACCCAGGTGAAGCACCCTCTGCGTCTTTCGGAGATGTTACCTGGATGCCACGGGTGGTCGGGGTCTTCCAACTCTGATAAGCCACAGGGTGACACAGCTGCGACCCTCTCTTGAGAGGACACCTGTGAGGACTGCAGCCTGGGGACCGAGCAGAGCCCTGAGTGAGACCACCAAGGGGCTGGAGGGCTCCCGGTGACTTCCTAGGACCTCTGTGGATAGGGCAGCGCCTACAGTTTATAAGCATTATTAATTCCTGTGTCTATGTTCAATGAAGGTGCCGGCAGTACCAGGTGACACAGGATTCAGCTTGCAAGGGGGACATCAGGCACCAGGTGGGCCACCCAGGGAGACCAGGCATTGCCCACGTCTGGTTTCCACATGGGGTGATGCGTTTATAGAGGTGTTAATACTACAAAGTAATGATGCAGGCGTGGTTCTGAATCACCCACATCTCCAGGTTAAGAGAGGAGTAGTAGAGCCATTGATAGCCCAGCCCCGACCCGCCACGTGGACTACGTGATTCCATGGCTGGGCATTCCTGCGAGCCGGTGGGGATGTGGGCCACAGGGAGCCCTGGCCAACACAGCCAGGAGACGGCTGCACCCCGAAGGCAGAGGCCCTCCACACAGAGGAAGCCCCAGGCATGCTGGTGCTCAGGTCCCCAGGAAAGCTGACGCCTGTCCCTGCACGGGGGTGAGAGCCACCGCTTGCTACTTCTGGAAGTAAAAGGAAAGAATGGGGTGCCCATCCCACCTCCCTCTGGGGCTGTCGCTGGATAGCACAGGGGTGCCCCAGCACCCTTCCAAGTTTCCAGGAAAGAAGAAAATCAAAGGAGCTAGATTCTCCCCACATGGTGATGGAGAGCTCACTGCTACTGCTGGCATCAGGCACCTGGCCCCACGCACCTCCCGTGATGCACTCACCACCACTCAGCTTGGGTGGCCTGGGCACGTGCCAGCTGGCAGACTGTGCCAAGGACAGGAGCAAGACGAGCCGCACCTCACGTGTGTCAGCAAAATCAGACTGTGGGCTGCACCCAGGGCTCACGGGGGCTGGAGGGGCCTGGGGATAGGAAAGCCACAGAGGACACCAGAGCACAAGTTGGCAGGACCGCACCGGGCTCAGAGAGGCGCACTGGGTAACGGAGCTGAGGGGACGAAGCTGAGGCCAGATCCCGGTCAGCTGGTGGGGCCATGGCCTCTGTTTGACCGGCTCATACCACCTCTGCCTTAGGCCTCTGTTCTCGTGTCTCTGTGTTGAGTCTTGATTTCACAGAAGGTTTGAAGACAAGGTCACAGAACTTAAGGAAGAAAGAGTGAGAAGAAAGGCCGCAGGGCTCATGGACGAGCCCACAGGCACGATGGCGTGACCTGAGGGACACCAGGGCAGGTGCCAGGGATGCGGTGCACCTGAGGTCCCCGGCTGAGGCTCCGGGTCTTCAGATGCATGCAGCAGAGGGCGGGATGGTGGCACCAGGGGCCAGGAGGGAGGACGGCAGAGGGCACGGGTGGCAAAGTCCCATTCAGCGAGCAGGACACCCTGGAGATGAGGTGACGGCCACGCGCGCCCGACGCCACAGAAGCGCGCCTGGGTGGCAAAGGTGGCAGCTGTCAGGTTGCCTTGTTACACACAGATGGCCATCCCAAACCAGGGCTAAGATCCCTGGTGCCCGAGGCCCAGCGAGGAGAGAGCATGAAACACGGTGGACAGGAGCACCGGGCACAGCTCAGGCGCCTCTGTGCCCCGGCCCCTTGGGCAGTGATCGCCTTCCTTCAGGGAGGAGGCGGGACAGGGCTCAGGCCTGTCGGTAGCTGTCTGCAGGCCAGCTTGCCCGCCCAGCGACAGATGAGGACAGCTGGCCTGTTCCCGCTCCATGCCCCTGACTCGAGCAGGTTTGGTGGCTGGTCAGCCACGGGGCTGGTGCTCAACCTGCTCTGGAGCTGGGGACATGCAGGAGTGGGGGTCCCCTCTGTGGGTGTGAGGGGCTTGCAGAGGTGGCTGTGGCCAGGGGCGCAGTCCTGCAGAGCTGAGGGCTATAGGCAGGGAGACGGAAACACATGGACCATAAGGAAGGGCCAGCTGGCCTCAGAGCCCCTCACAGCCAAGGCCACACTGCTACCAGGTCGCCCTACCTGATCTGTGGGAGTTTTCTATCCCATGATGGGTGCAGAACCTCCAGGGATCCCCAGGCACTGGACTGCTCTGTGCTCTCGTGAGCTCAACCCTCCATGAGTCTGCAGCAGGGGACAAGCCTCTCCTCCACAGCACGGATGCTGGGTGACTGGGAACACTTTCTGATGTCCAGTTCCACATGTCTGATTTATTCAACCTCATCTGAGTCCTTCCCTATGGCCACCATCCCCCTGCACCCCGGGTTGAATCCCAAGCCTCCCTGCCCCAGGCCAGGAACACGACACCTCTTCCCAAATCTACCGTCTGCTCTGTCATGTGGTTTGGACGGTGGGGCAAAGAGCACATGCCTAGCACCTGACACCAAGTGCCAAATGATACTTCCTACATTTTTCATGGGCACTTAGGAACAGAGATGGTTTAGGGTCCTGTGGAAAGTGCCTACCAACCCCCCATAATGTGGTTTTAGGTGCATATGGTACACGATGCCCCTCTCCTGGTTAACTGAGCCTACCCA